CCATGGAAGGATATAGCGAAATTATACCACATGTAGGGTGCCCCCTTGTTTAAACACGAACAAACTTCAACGTCAAACCACAGATTTAAATATACAAAATCTGTGGTCAAACTTTGAGCAATATTACTTACTGTAGGTCCTTAAACCCATCTAAATTCAGCTTAAACTTGACAGTGGAAATCCATCGAATGTAGCGTTTTAGAGAAAATTGGAACTAAAGTATCATCAGTGGTGGATTTGTGGCCTGAGTACACTAAAGCCTAGGTTGTTAATAATAAGAGGGGAGAAAGAATATTTATAGTTGAAAAACATAAAAATTCTTTGCTTTCACGGGAAGAACCGTTTTTTATTGAGCAAAATGAACTAAGTAGCGCCTAATATTTTTGTTTCTATAGAAGAGCATACAATCTTTTTAATTACCTACCAAGCGAACGTTCCAACGTTCACACTAGAAAGCAAAACCGACAGTGAACTATTACTCAACGGTATCTCCGGATCTTCGGATGATATGGTATGACTAATGACACCCCCCAAAAACACAAGTAGTTACAGTCAGTTCTGTTCGAATGTTATCGTTGCTGAGGATGAAGGTAAACAGGTATAACAAACGAGCTTCTGAATCACTGAAAATTTAATCAGTTTTTCCTTGGGTGATGATAACCATAATACTGAAAATAGAATTGAAAAATTCGAAACCGTTCGCGAGTTATGATGTACACAGACGGACGGACGGACGGACGGCCGAACAGAAAGTCCTAAGTCATGAACTCGCTCATTAATATTTTGCATGGGAAATACGTTTATAATGACAAAGACTGCATTGTGCAAATGTCCATATAATATTGCATACATAATAAGGTAGAAGGAATGTTTGCTTTTCTAATGCGAATTAATCTGTAATTTCTGCGCACATTTCCGATTCTGCGATGTTTATTAACACAAATCCATAATAATTAAGAAACTCTGACTAATCGTACAAAATTTGTGCGTTCCCAACGGTCGATCATGTTCTCGTGCACATTTTCGTTCGATGAGACACATCACACATTTTGGTCTCTTCAATCTGATAAAGGTCACTGACTGAAAAAAAAATGATTAATTATGTTAATCGGAAATTAAGTAACTGTCTAGAGCTTGTGGCTTTCGCTTCTACAAATTCCGTTCAATTCCTTCCTGTCTTCTCGCGACAGGTTATAGCATAGTCTGGTGCTAGTGGTACCTAAACAAAAAAAAGTGAAATGAGTAACTCTATCAAAAGTAATGCCGCTTAGAATATTAGTCATAGGTTTATAAGCGACCATCTTAGTCACGACTATTGTTTATTTTATTAAAATGAAACGTGTTAACTAACATCCTTCTCTTAGTTTTGATTACCGTTAGGAAGTGATTTTTGAAGTATATCTTTCGGAAGTGTGACATATTTCCTGATTTCTCATTAATTTTAGTGTTAGATTTGAACTGCCTATGTAATGTATGCAAAATCAGTATTTATTATAAAAAAATTTAAAAAATGCGCACACGCTTTGACAGATTTAGTCAACAGAAGAAGAAATAGTAATTGATGGTTGCATCAGTATACCTATTTATACCACGACGTACCTAGAATAATTGCGACTGAATATCACTTTTGATAGGTGTTGTGTATGGAGTATTGCGTTTTCGTCAATTTAATTCAACACGTGCCATACACCGCAAAACGTACTTGTCTTAATCTATTTAAAATGTTAATATCTAAAGGCGCATGTAATGAAGTTATTTCTTCTTGAAATGTCTCCGTTGCATCCCCTTCAAGTGCGTGAAGATTGCACTACTTTTTGGATTGTTTTCGTTTAGGCAAGGAGGACGTTGGTGTTAACATCATTTCAAAATTAAAATTGTCTATGCAGGCTTCACAAACGGTGCTAGTTTCTGTAAGTTCTCACAAACCCATCGTTCGTTTCCCGATATTGTTTTAAAAACATTCGAAGTTGTCCGACAAAATTGCACAACCTCCCCTAGGATTTGATTGAGTGATGACTCCTTTCGTTAGTTCAAATATTGACACGGATTCATTAAATAACCCTTACCTACAACGTTTGTGAAATATAGTTGTTTAGATCAATTCAGTTGGCCGTTGGAAACCCTGTAGAATTTGGAGCTCGTGTGCGGTAAATTCGCTTCTAAGTAAAATTTCTCGGAGTTTTCTCTGTAACAATTTCTTTTCAGTTCCAAGAAATATTCACATTCATGAAACCTACACCCCCGAAGGATCGACCGTAAGAAAACTCTCTCTTGGTGTTTTGTCATTCAAGGGATTAAAGTGCTGGACTTACGAATTTGCACATTTTATTCCGACTATTTGGATAAGTATAATTAATCGTGTTATCTTTTGCCTTTGGTGTTTTACCGACACTAATTGCTATCGCTCCGTTAATCGCAAGGTAAGCTTTTAGTTAATTTTCGTTTCATTAATTATAACGGGGTCATATTCTTTCGTTTCCTGCAATTGCTTTTCCGTAGAAACTACTACCGAATCCGACTATTTACTATTCCCGCTTAGGATTCCTGGGACCGCCGTTCTCCATTCGAGTTACTTGGAGCTTACCATCAGCGACTGCATCTTGTCCAGAAACAAGAGAGACCGAAAACATCTGGTGGCGCTTAAAGCACTATCCCGTTCCTCCGTTTCTTGCAGCCGTCTTTCGTCGACTATCGCCGCCGTCACCGTTTACAGATTTTGACTCGTAAATATTTTCCTACCTTCATCAAATTTCCTTTTTGTTATTATGTCGTTTATTGTTTTGTGTAAAGGAGAACAGTAGTAGAACAACACCGGTTTCAGCGCGCTTTGCTCTTGAGATCTAGGGATGCGGCAAGATCAAGGTCATTCGATTCGGTTCTGCCCTGGGTTCTGCTTATCGACGAAAACAGGTGTATTTATCAGAAACAGGTCCGTTAAACAGAAACCGAATTGAATTGAATGACCTTGAACTTGGCGCATGCGTAGATCTGAAGGTCAAAGTGCGCTGAAACGGGTTTAATAATTTTTACAACCCCTTATAATATTTGCTCAAAGCAATTTTATAATAAAAATAAACAAATTGCAATGCTGCTATTTAACAAAAAATAACCATCGTCTAAACTACAGTAATTTATAATACAATACAATATTCACCTTAACCTTTGACCTGGTGAACATGATGATTAGTGTATGTATGAACGATCCGATTTAATCTAAAACGAGCCGTGTTTTCCTCCATTGTCAACCGTGTTTGCGTATGCTGCAACTACAAAGAACGCTGACCTAGCCCTAGGGTGACAGTATTCATCATACAGGAAATAGGAATCTCTGGAATCTCTACGATGTTAAATTACCCGGACTAGAGGTATTGTAAATTTATTTTTACAGTTGTTGTCACTTAAAAAGGCCGTAAATCATTACGGTTATGTATAAACTATTTCAAATAGAAATCTATTTGCATGTGTAAGTCGCAACGAAGCTTAATTGGGAAAAGGTCCCTCATTTTTTTTAATGAATTAGGTTATATTCGAATTAATTAATATATATGGCCGGTATTGCACTATCAAAGATTTTATCAAATATGTTTAATAAAAGATTGACAAATATTTTATTAAATGTTATCGTCTGTTATTACTTCCATTTATATATCAAGTACATAAACTGGGTCTTTATGGACGGGCCGTTTATTTTGCCGAGCGAACTTGCGAGCGAGGCACAAATAAACAAGGCGAGTCCCCATGAAGCCTATTTATGGACGTGATATATACAAAGCTTTGTATACGACTGCAACAACCCTTAATGAGATTTCATGGAATTCAATAAACGATAAAATCTATATATAATTGACAACAGATGTCAAGCATTTGTCAAGTATTTCTAAAATACTTGAATTTACCTTGGATTGACACCTAAGTACGAGTGTCACATTGACAGGCCGTCGTTTTACTTTATCATTATAGACTAGGCCATAATATATTGCAAATTATGGCCACTAATTGCGACTGTAATCGCCGCATTATCAAGCAGTCGTACATAAAATATATTTTATAAAAGATCTTTGTCAAATATCTTTTATAATCCAATACCGGCCTAAGACAAGTAGATCTTTATTTGTTTTAAGAAGTTACTTTGATTGCATAAAGTTAGACGCCCTTCAAAAGCGAATTTTGTACTCCCTGGATTAAATAAACCTGTTTTGTCTTTCATTTAAGGGACTAAAATGTCATTTTTCCTCTATGAGAAAGAAAACCGCGACGAAGGACCAAAAGTCCACACGGAAATTTCTCGGGAAAACACTTTTTCTTATTAATTTTGGTGCGTAGAATCCAAAACAATTCGTACTTTTTCGATCGGACTTCTCAATCAAAAGTTATGGGCTAGAAACCAATTTCGAAAGAAAATTCAAAGGGCTGTAACTTTTGAACTAGTAGCCCAATCTTGGAACTGTTTGAAATTATGGATTCTACAGGCCACATTCTATAAGAACATTTTTTTTCCGGGTGGATGTGAGACAATTTTTTTTTCTGGCCTCAAAAAAAGGCAGTGTAAACCCTTCCTTTTTTACCAAAAATCGACTGCTTCAAAATTTCTCGGGAAAACACTTTTCCTTATTAATTTTGGTGCGTAGAATCCAAAACAATTCGTACTTTTTCGATCAGACTTCTCAATCAAAAGTTATAGACTAGAAACCAATTTCGAAAGAAAATTCAAAGGGCTGTAACTTTTCAACTAGTAGCCCAATCTTGGAACTGTTTGAAATTATGGATTCTACAGGCCACGTTCTATAAGAAAAATTTTCCCCGGACGATCTGAGACAATTTTTTTTTTCTGAGACAATTTTTTTTTTCGGGGCAAAAAAAAGGCAGTGTATAACCTTCCTTTTTTCCAAAAATCTACTGCACCAAAATTTACCGATTAATGTTACCTTAAAATCCATATAACCAGTATGCCAGCAATGACGAATATAATAGCGTATTTTTTTCAAAAATGCGCTAAAAAACATGATTCACTATACAACGTTAAACTACTTTTATCTTGCGCTTAACAGAATTCGTATCCGTAGTCAAGCATATCAACAACCAAGTCTTTAATCCTTGTGAAATGCCGTTCGTCATTAACCGTAGAAAAATTATTCGTTAATGACTCTTCAGTGAGGTTGTCCTTTTGGGGAGCGTCTTCGGGATTTTTAAAATTTAGGCCAACTATCCATATCGCTAACATTAACCCAATGGGGGCAAACATACGTAAGTGACTCTGAAGAACGCCGAAAGGTAACAAAGTGTCGGGTTCGCATCCCAGCTCTCGCAAAAATGTAGACAGGCTACTGTAGTATTCTTCAATCAAGTGTTTGTAGTGAGATCTTCTAAGACCTTTATCCGTGGTGACAAACATAAAAAACAGGATGTCTAATGCTGGCGATCCGATCCGTCCGATTTGCATATCAATCATGCAACATTCTTTTGGAATGGTAGATGCGGTCTAAAATTTGAACAATTAGTGAAGCTAAATAAAAATGGTTATGTTACATTGTATTTAAACAGGAAGTTCCTTATCTGTGGATCGCCATGGGTAACAACACCATGGTCGACGTGCTCCGGGTGTAATAGTAGTCTTGGAAACGTTGATGGAAGATTTTCAGTAAATTTTGTTAGTGATTCTACAATTTGTTCATTTCCGTAACCACAGGTGGAAATAATTTGAGTTGACAAACTTGAGCAAACACTCTTCAACATGTCTTACAATGGCGGACTTGTCAAGAAGTTGTCTTCACAATTTAACCTTATTTCCTCAAACACGTCCGGATTGTGTTCTTTAATTGCAAACGACAATGCATTAAACTTTCCTAAGGTCTTCATAACCAAAAGAGCGGTTTCGTAATCCACTATCTGGCGGTGATTCCCGACAATGAAGCTCTTCTGTCTCATATCATCCATCACTATAGCCTCCTCCAGATCTTTCTTTGACGAGAAGTAGTGCCTTGGGAACGGATGAAAGATCTTTGCTATGCGTCTTTCTCGCTGTATTGCTATGCATTCCGGTATTATCTTGTCATAGTAGTATATCTCACGTTGGAACAAGGAGGCAGCATTAAACATTTTCCTGTACGTTAAATCATAGGGGGCAATTTTTATTACTAAAAAAAGATTTTCCGAGGATTGATACCGACTTGCCTTAACACTGTAAATTTCTCCAACCCAATTTTCGCCAGGTTTTGTAACCGAATCTATGAGCTCTTCGTTAACCTTAATGTCAGTTTCCGTTCTCATTCTACTGATTATATTTTTTATTCTTTGCATTTCCTCGCTGACCGAATTCGCCATTGTTGTCACTTGAAATTTAAAAAACAAACTAGTGAGTTAAACAATTTGTGAGCACGTACGCTTAGTTTACTGACTGAGTGAGAACTATTGAATAGGGTTTGATGGTTTCTTACGTTTTGGAAAATATTCTCAAGTGAATTTGTATGGACTTGTGAGTCCAAGGAGCTCTTATTGAGTATGCTACTAATTATTTAAGATGTATAAACAACTTGGGAACTGTTTTTAATTTAATTAAATTACTCGTATTTATTGATGTAATTAATATGATTATGGCAATTAAAAAATGCATTGATTATCGGTTGATGAAATAGCTAAAATAGTACCTAGGTACATGGCATTCTGAAGTATAGCATTATATTCTGTAGTACTCTACAATAGCGAATCATATCATATCGCACTTTGTTCATATTAACCGTTATAGGTGTAGAATAGTATTACATATTAGACAAAAAATAATATTACAGTACAATATGTTCACATACTAAAATTAAAATTCTGGTTTAGAGAATCAAATAATTCACATGTAGAGTAAAAAACAAATTCCCTGAAGTATGCAATCAAAGTTTTTTTAAAAGCGTACCTAAGTGGTACTTGGCGTTTAAATTATTTGGTATGCTGTATTGTAATTATGAACTTTGGCATTAGCAACAAATAGGCGAATGTTGTTGTGGACGTACACTGCACATTTAGTAATATACAAATGATACAAAGTTAGTGTTGTCAGTATACATCATATATACCCCCCAAAATCATTCCAGTGGCCCAAAACTAAATGGTAAATCATTTAAAAAAATGATAAAAAGTAAGGGTCCCAAGACGGAGCATTGGGCCCCCCAACTTTTTCAGTATACATATTGCATGAACCACATACCAGTCTCTGCGACTAGAAATTTAATTTATTGCCAATGTACCCCGTCTGGAAGTGAAATTTCGATGATGATTTTTACCACATTTGTCCAATGGAGTAGTGTATTACAAGGTGCGCACCTACGGGTATAACGATCCAACCATCAAATTATTTTTAAAAAACTGTTGTCAATCCTATATATAAATAAGAATATAAATAGCTACTGGCATAGATTATGAAATGGTTAGCATCTTAGAACTGATAAGTGTTTATGAAACCTCCAGCACAAAAATCATTTACTCTATAAAACTTAGTACGAATTTCTTAGACGAAAAATATGGATTAGCTACATACCTAGGTGAAGGGTTTAACAATGCGTTTATCAATAAGAGAACGGCTGGTTTATTCTTCGTAAAGAAAGTGTTTGATTGATTATCTACATACGCAAGCGGTAAAATTGAAAAGGAGTTAATGAATGACTGTAAATAAATACATTGAGCGTCCTTCAATGACGATATGCGAAACATTTTTTCGAGCATTTTTTTAAATGTTTATATGTATATCGAAATTAATTTTATGTGTTGTGGTCAAGCGTTGTAGAATCTTAGACCCATTTGCCAATATGAGGTATCATGTTCTCTATTTTCGGGAAAATTCTAGCAGCGGTTCGATAGGGACGCCGAACTTCATGTCAGCGTTACCCAGTGCAGGTTAAAATCTCAGGCGGCGGATTTATAAAAGTTTAAATCAAAACACTTGTGCCACGCTATGATAAGTGCCTCAATTTGAATGGCGCTGGTGTTTATAAATAGCCCAAGAGTGTAGCCCCCAAATGTATACAATAATAGATTTTCTTTACAAGTTTAAAATTTTTTATTTCAAAACGTCTGCTACTTTCTGGACAACCCTCGTATATAGTCTCATTCACGTTCGTCTTTGATTCGGTCAAAGCTATCAAACCAATATACGATTAATTGAGTCATTTATTTTTTGTGCCATTTGGCGTAAAATATACATGAATTATAATCATACGGATGTATACATATGAATATATAGTATGTATATATAAAATAAGTTAAAAATATGGAAATAACGTAGAAGTTTGAAATATTTACAACCTTTAACGAGCAACTTTGAACCAAAAAAATTTGTATCTAACATGCAACATTGGCAAAAAACTCATCCAACGAATACAAAGTCATTTGATTGAGATGAGAAACTTTTTGTTTGAAATATTTATATATCGAAATTAATTTTATGCATTCTGGGAGAGCGTTGTAGAATCTTACACCAATTAGCAAGTAAAGTTTTGTATTATACACGACGATAAAAGGAAACTAACCATCTCGTGAAAGTTAATTCACTCAAAATATCCCTTTATCGTCTTATACAGTGAGTTTTTTTAAATGCGAACATAGGAGCTTGCATGCAATGTAATTTCCCTATGTTCGATTTTAAAAAAACACATCAATCTATGAGGTGTGCGCGGTTCACATTCCCAAAACGCGCAACTTGTGTGACTATGAACAGCAACTCATAGTCTTTATGATGAAGAGCACTCGGTAAGATTTTTTTAAAGAAGCCATGTGAGGCTATAGCAACTTTAGGATACATTTTTCTTAAACTTACGATAACTTGACTTCACATGGCACGCGCTGGCATCACAATTCATTGTGAACCAACCTTCAATTATTTGTAGGTCATGTGCACCTGGTATTCTACTAATTTGATCTATTCAATACATAAATCACATAAATGAAGGAAATAAGAAAATAAATATCGAGAACAATTACAATAAAAGTTCGAAGTGTCTTCCTAGACATTCTAAGCAATAACCTAACCGATTTCGTAATTAAATTGGACGGCGGTATTTTTAAAAATGTGACAGCTGTTAATTGTATCTACTACTCATTTGAACTACTCAATAGGTTGAGGTGTTTTTTTTAAAATCGAATATAGGGAAATTACATTGCATGCAAACTCCTATGTTCGCATTTAAAAAAAATTCACTGTATAATGAATAACATACTATTTAAAGGAACTAACAATAAATTATTTTGACCTTTTATCAACAGCAAAATGGAAAAAATTTAATATCAACCCTTTTTTTTCTGACTTGAATAATAAACAATTCTGAACAATATTTAAATTTTATGTAAGTATTACAGTTAAAAACTTATAGGTATATTCATTTATCAGCTATGTTACAACACACCCTAAAGAAAAGTATGTACTTACGTGATATAAAAAAAGTAATGTAAAAAACGAAACTCAAAGATGCGGTGATTTGCAACGTCCAAATGTAAAGTTTAAGTTTGCTTTAAAGTATAGTAATATAGGTACTGCTTATGAATAGTGGGAATTTTCAAATTCAATGTGCATAATTATGTGAGCTATTGAAGTACTTCCCGCTGTTCTCCTTGTATAAAAACATAATTTTTGGTACGATTGGAAATCCCAAACGTGGAACACAGTCTGCACGAGTTGCAAATATCAGATATCAGCTAATGTAAGCGCCTGGACTTCATTTTCATCTGTATTCATGTCTTCATGTCAATTTTTGTTGACCACTACACCGTACCTTACAATCTCCTATATAATCTCTAAAATAAGACGTTACCCTTTTTTCTAGATCACCTTGTGTAGATTCTATGCGATTATTTCAGAAAAATGTTTTCTAATATCTCCCTTGTTAGGACTATTAGAACTATGCAAAACAGCTCCTTAAAAAATGAGGATACTTCCTAATTTGATTATAAATATCACATTTTTAACCCTTCTATAAATTGCTTTATTGGTTCCTCTACTCGCTTTATTGCATAAAACTTTAACATATCTGAAACATAACAAACTCATTAAATATAACCATTGAAAAACGAAGTCATCAACGATATCACTGAGATAATTTACCGTCAATGATGCGACAATTTTCGTCATATTTGTGACACCGATCCAATAAGCATTGTCAGATTCGATTAGGTACCTACTTCGTGTAAGTCTAAGATATTTGTACCTACCTTCTTGCAGTCGAACCACATCTTTATTATCAGATTCAACATCTTCGGTATAGTAGATGCGGAAGACATAATGGCAGTGTCACCAGCTTAGCTGACAATTTTTTCCATGTTACATTATCGATAGAAAGAAGACTATTTATGTATACAATAAAGAGAAGTGGCCCTAGAACCGTGCCTTGAGGTACAACGCCATATTTTTATTCTTTTTCTTGGCTGACGTAATCACCAATTACTAGGTACAATTGTTTCCTGCCTGTCAAATAACTAGAAAACAAATTTAGAGCGTTTTCTCTTATTCCGCATTGGGATAAAGCTTCCAACAGTTTTTGATCATCGAAGCAAGGTATTGATTACTATTGTCAGGTCCATAAATATACAAATTACCGGAGTTCCAGTGTCAATTTGTTTATATATCTCTCTAGTGATTGTAGAAATAGCTCTATTTCTCAAGCGCCCCTTTTTGAAGCTAAACTGTTTGGTAGATTTGAAGTAGTATTTTTCAAAACAATTGCTAACCCTTGCGTGCATGAACTTTTCAAAAAATTTACCCGAAGATGTGATATCTGGTATGGGTCGATAATTTGGACTTGTTCTCTACCAAATACATGCTGTTTCTATTGCTGTTCTTTTAAGAAATTGGAATCTCCGGCGGAAGCACATTTAGCATACAAAATTGGTAATTTAAGTCAAGATATAGAAACAGTAAATGTATACAATATTAATGATGTGTACTAATGCTATGACAATTGCTAAAATAAACTAAAACACCAAAACAGATGTTTAATGTATAAGTATAATAGTGACGAATAAGGGTTCGACTAGAAAATCGATCTTGATGAGGTTACTTTTAATTATATAGGTAACAGTAAATAGAATAGATTAAAAAAGTAGCAAAAACGGTTTAAAATAATATGCTGTACTAATTCACCCCCCCCCCTGACGAATTTGAACGCCCTTATGACCCCCTTTAATTTTGTTATCCTTATCCAGATGTTGTTTGCAGCATCCATCCAGCAGTGTGACTCTGTCCCTTTTTGGCTACCGTTATTCCTGTCACCTCTACTTGTTCCTCTGCTGTGTCTCCCTGCGCTTCTTTAACCGCCTCCCTTACATCCTCCCTAAGGTTTCTTAGATATTTCGTAAATATCCCAGATGAAATTCACTGTTTTGTTTTCTTCTCGCGCTCTGCACTGAGCTCTTTCCCCGGGCTGGCTCAGGAGCGTTTCCTGGAGGGACTTCATATCTCCCTTATCATTATCAAAAAAATAGTTTCAGGTGCCCATCCTTGGTTTTTTGAGTAGCCCCAAGATCCCTCCAGGGCTTTCCTAGTCCGTCAGAAGATTCGCATATGATTTGGAACCATTTTTTACAATTTTTAACAATCGCGAAACAGGTAGAAATCGGGAGGCACCAAATTTTCTGTCTTTCTGGTTTTCCTTCCCTTCTTCCAGAATCGCAGTCGACTTCCTGAAAGTGGTAACTGTGGTAATGCCTCCTTTAAAGAACTGCAGTGTGTTTATCGCATTCTGAAACTCGTATCTTGCTCGCAATTCCTACGCCATACAGTATATCCTCGTTTTCTAGAAATCCTTAACTGTCCTCTAGCTCATTTCTAGTCGTACCCTCAGTGCATTCCCTCTGTGCCACGCCCCATTCCGTTTCAAAGTCGAAGGCAGTTTCAAAGCGTTCTTTTACATGGGTTCTTACAATGCCCTCCTGTTTAATCCCATAGCTTTGCATTTGTTGCAAGCTATTTTTTTGTTTCTGAGTCCTTTGTCTATGTCTTTAGTAGAATCGTTGTTTGTGGGTTTATTTCTTCGTCTGCTTAACTCAAGCATGACTTCTTCAATATAAAAAGAAAAGAAACTAATGAAGAACGTCTCTAACAGCGTTTAATCTCAATAGAAACAAATAAAATTTGGCACTTAATGTAAGTTACTACAAAATTATACAGCCCCTTACAAGAGTAAATGGATTACGTTTTACTTGGACGGTATACTAAAATACGAATTTAGGCAACGTAGTAAAGGCTTCAAAACTAATAGATTAAAATTAACAATACTGGCTAAACCCAGGTATCCTTATATAGCCAGTTTGAAATACAGTATTATCACTAGCAATATTCAAAGAATACGCAAATAGTTTTTCCGACGCGAGTGGATGCCAAACTCCAAACGTACAGGCGGGATTGTCCTCTTCGTCGTAATAATGGCATATTTTGGTGACTCGAGCCGAAGGTATATACTCGAACATGTCGACGTAATCGCAATGGTGCAGCAGAACCGCCAAACCTAAAATCACAGCTTGTAAATATCCGCAGCAGTAAATACCCCACCTAAAAATCCGGAAGAGGGTGGGTTTCTAGGTAATTGATTTATGGTGTACGTCTGCAGTGATACCCAAAGATCCCACAAAGAGATCGGGTTCAAGACGTACGTCTTCGTTCTGCGATCACCTCGCCTGTGCTCAAAATAATTGGGGAATAGGTTAAAATCGGGCTTTTTAAACCAGTCATCTAAGGGTTCCATATATCGGCTAGGATCCCATACTAATATTGTAATATTGCGGTATATTTTCGACTGGAGAAACTTAAATTTGGGTTTGGAAACCACTTGGGAGTTCAGAATGCGAAAAGTTGTCTTCTCGCCAACATCCGTTTCGTAGTGCTCCGTAGGTGCGTGGTTGAAGCGTAACACCACCTCGTGGGAATCTATACATAAAACGTTAGTGGTGTGATGTGATACGCTGTGATTGATTACCTATCATCTGTCCAAGTGAGGAGCCCTTGAGTGAGCCGGCACTCGCCACAATTGCGCAACTTTTAAATGTTTTATTTTGAAATAAACCCTTTTTAGGGAAATACTCTTTGACAGTCTCGTTACTGAAGGGGTATTCATTTCTTGTAATCGTTTTTAGATTAATACTTCGTAGTGAACATAGCATTTCTTTGACGTTTTTATCGACCCCCTTTGAGCCATTATAGTGTACATTGTATGGATTTTTGTTTTTGAGTATGTTACTCTCATCCATCAACGATACCCTGCGCAACTCCTTCAAGAGTTGCGTTTTAAACTCGAAGGTTTTTTCGTCACACTCAGTCGTACTGTCATTCTGAAAACACTGAAACTTTCTCGTGTCCATCTGAAACTCGCTCTCTTGTAAATTTGGAAATCTGGGCTTACTATTTCTAATAATGGTAACCGGATTTTCTTTCGTTGCATGTTGAGCACGTTTTCTTCGATCGCTTGCGTTAGATTTCGGCGTGTCGTTGAAATAACTTGGAGGATATCCCCGGTTATAGTAATAAATCTGTTGGTCATAATTGTAGGCAGTGGTGGAGTCTTCGGTTTGTGTGTAAATCCAATATTGCGACCACAGTAGGTACATGTATCCGCACATTCCGAAAAATAGCAGGTTGATGAATACCCATATTGACACTGCTAGCGCGCGCATAATCTGGAAAAAGAAAGTTCTTAATTAATTATTTCTCTTTCTCCAAAAAAAAACTACATAATCAGTGACACAACTATATTCAAATTTGATTGACGAAAGTAGAATAAGTACCTATAGTTCCATCAACTAATTGAAATTAAATCGACCGCCCACAAAATTAACGCGCGACCTTCTGTTACTAAACTGCTTCCAATTTTATATAAAACGTGTAGGTATATTACAACAAAACGACGGACAAAAACTCGAGAATTGACAAAATGCAGGGCCGTACTTACCACAATAGAACCAAGCCACACGAAAATAATATTCCAAGAAAAACTGTTGGTTATTTTTGAGAATTATTTGGAGAATATTTTGGTAGATTAAGATTTCGAGAATGACGTATCGCGTACAAAAAAAACAGACCCCAACATAGACTTAATGCCCATTTGCATCGGCAAATTTAAGCTGAGCTTTAGAACGAATAAACCCAGTTTAAAATCCAAGGCAACAATTGTCGCGTCAATGGTTGCCATTGTCCCTTTTATAATTTCCCCCACCCGCCACCTCTTACCTGCAGTCCATTGGGACCCTAGGACAAGTTTGTAATTGTAATAGTTCTCCTTTTCAAAATACAGCATTGCACTAATAAAAAGAAACGAAAACTATGAAAAATAAATACAGTCAAATCCTTATCTGAAGATGGTACTTGTTCCGACACGACACCCTTGCCAATATACATAAATTCTTCCTCCCTCGTTGACTCAGTAGCTTTTCTAGCAGCTCAAAAGAAAAAAATATATATAGGAATTTCATTGATCGGAATTTCAATTTTATCCCCTTCGCCGTAGAAACCTTAGGTCCTTGGAACGTTGAAGCGATCAAATTTATGGATCATTTAGGGAAACTAATCTCTAAAGCTACTGGTGAACTTCGTGCAAAACATTTTTTAAAACAAAAAATTAGTATCGCAGTACCTACTACGTGATAACGCAGCTTGTATAATGCGTACCTTTTCGCAAATATCTTCAATGGAAGAAATATTTTATTTTTTATAAATAATTGTTAACCCCGTTAAGGTAAAATGTGCAAATAAATCTTTGTTTATTTAAACAAAAAAAAATTATTAGGGATTTCCTATGTCTACTTTTAAATGATAAAAAGTCTTCTGAAGGACGCCTAACTTTATGCAACCAAAATAACTACCTACAACAAATGTAGATCTGACTGTCAAGTGTCATATTAATTAATTTGAATATTATATCGCTTTGACTTCCGTATTCTGATTTTCGTTCTTGTGCGATGTATTCCACAAAAAAAAAAGTTGATATTTCCAATTGGTATAGTGCCGATAGCTAAAGGAGGTTAAGAGATTTATTTTCTGTGAAGCCAAAGCAACAATATTCAAATTAATAATTAATATGACAGCGCGATAGGAAATCCCTATGTCTACTTCTACATGAATATCAAGGTATATACCGTTAAAATACATTTAAAAAGTTTATATAAAAATTCATTGACTTGCCCTAGACTCCGGGGTATAAACCCTACGCCGCTCCAGCAGTAAATGTACTTGGGCCCACGAAATTAGAAATTAGAAAGAAGACTTTTATGAGAGAAAATCAAATGCGGAAAAAGATTCCAGCGATACAAAACAGTAAAAGAATAAATAAAAACATATTTGTTAGGTGTCCATTACGAAATTATTGACAGTCCATCGCTAGAGTTTTGTGACCATTGCTGGCGATTTTGGTGTTTGTGCGTAGCAAAAAAACATTTTTTTAAAACAATTTTTGTTTAGATATTTATTTGGATGTTCATGAAAGTAAATAATATATATACCTTTCTTAGTATCCTAGCATAAGAAAAATAATAGTAAGTCAAATATTTCATTAGAACGAATTAAAATTGTTCAAAATTTTCTCTTGCGTGTCCATTAGTTGTGCAGTTACCATTTTACCCCTAGGTACCTACTTTATTAGAAGTTGTTGTGTTGTGACCAGTGTAGGTAATATCTATACTTGAATCAATTCCAATTTTCAAATGAAAATTTATCCAACTAAGTTAAAAAATAAAAAAAGTTTTCGAGTAACTTTATAAGGCCATACCTAGATGCGCTGTTGTTTTTTAATGGAAAAGTCTATGGTTAAAATTTCACAAAAAAGTCTCCGTAAATAAGAACGCTGGCATTGCGCAATACCAATCTGATTTTTGCAATATGCGGTACGCTGGAATTTACTAGAACCATCTGTGCTTAACGTTTCATAAAAATATATCTACTAATAAAGTTAGGATTGCGCAAACTACGCATGCTACAATGGTGTTACAATATGCGATATGTCTGCCTTTACTAGAAGCATCTGTGGCATTTTTATTAAATCTGTGGTTAATATTTCAAAAAAAATCTCAATAAATAAGAAAGTTGACATTGCGCAGTCTGTACAGTCATTGACAAAAGTAATGATCGTCGAATATGTAAATCCTGCAGCATACGCAAACAATTGAATATATTGTTATAGAGTGACCGTACATGTGCACATTAATGGTCAAGATTTTTCCTGGTTGAGGTGCAGGAAGAACGAACTAAATATCTTCAAACTGTAGGAGTAGTTGAGGCCTCGGAAGGACGGACGGAGAAAGTGACCATAATAGCGCCTTCCACCATGAGTTGGAAAATGAGCAAAAAAACCTATTCGTAAACTTTCCAAATAGATAGCAATTGAATCAAACAGCTCAATGTGGCGCCGATAAAGGTTTGATTAAAAAGGACTTGTTATTCTGTTTGATAATCTATATGTAATTAAATCATTAATGTGTCCTCTATTAATACATATCAAAGGCGCTACAATAATTATTTTTTTTGTGGTTTGTAATCATTAAAAAAACTAGTACTTAATTAATAAGAAATGCATGTAAGTACTGTTGATAACACTCAATCGGCCTAGCATTTGGAAATTGAATACAAATATGAAAAAAGTAATTGTACAGTAAGCAACGAATGTATTTTAAAAGAAAGTGAAATCAGTACAGAGAAACTAATTTTTATAATGTGAACCATACTGCGCATAAAATCAATACAAAATCTACTGCAAATTAACAAATGCTACTACCACTTACTGAAGATACTTAAATTAATACAATTAACTTACCTACAGTCATAATTTTACCATTTTCATTTGCTAATTTACAAAATCACAAACCGAATTGTGAAGCTATGAATTAATCATGTATAAAGATAGGTGAAATGAACGCAAGCGCGTCGAGTGGGTGGTATAAATCAAGGCGTTGCGGTTTTTTCTGTAGCATGAACATGTTTATTTATATAATTGGAGACTTTGCCATCAAAATGAAGGGAGAATGGAAGTGAGCTTTACAGAGGAATTTAAGAAGAGCTGGTTAACTTCTATTATTGGATTTTTGTTATTAGTCGCCGGTATTTTGGTGTTAACATGGAATGAGGTAAGATACGCGAGTGATCGACACCTCCTTAGGTTTTGTACCTGTAGGGTCGAGCAGTACACCATGCCCATTCCTTAGACGAGGCCTTCAATAACGTGATTGCGTTGAATCCGTACGATCGGCTTAAACCCGAGTACGAAGGGCGCCTAGTGCACATCAGTGGCCCTTTATTAGTGGAGGAGCCGTTAACCGAACCCGACTATGGTATATCCATTCAGTCTGTCAAGTTAAAACGTAGAGTGCAAATGTATCAGTGGGTGGAAGATCGAGTGTAAGTAAAAACCACAGTCCTACGCTTCTAACCTACATGTTTTGACAGTCGACACGATTACGCCCAAGTGTCAATGCCACAAGATGCCGATAATGTCGATTATTACTACCTGACTGAATGGCGTGACAAGCTAGTGGACAGTAGGTCATTTTATATTCGTCACGGTCACGAAAATCCAACGTATGTAGGTTTGCATGTTATCTACCAAGAATGGATATTGATCACAAATTTTTTGCAGTGAAATCCCATTGAAAAGCGTGGTGCATGTTTCACCATCGGTCCGAATTGGACAGCATACTCTGGGATCAGAATTGAAAGAGAAATTTACCAATTATATTGAGGTCAGTGGTGATGAAAGACCGGAACGTAGGGATATTAAGTTGCACTTAGGGCTGTATTATCATTGTAACGATGTGTGGAATCCAGAAGTTGGCGACGTTCGTGTTCAGTTTTATTATGCAGGAATTTCAGGGGAAGTGGTAAGATTTAAAATCGCTTATAGATCTTTTCCGGCAAATTTGATCTTGAAAAGAGTGAGAGTAATGTATTTACAGATCTCTTTTACCAGTACATGCCATCACCACAGTTATTTGCCCAAAGGTCCCTATTTTGAAAGTAAGTAGGTATTCGCGATTCAGATTAACAGTAAGCCCTCTGGTAGCAGCACCTTGTAATTAATATTGGTGGGATACGACCGCCATTTTGTTTATATTCAATGGCCAAAAGTAATCAATAATGTAGTTTTTAGAGTTGTAAAAGTAAATACACTTGCAAACATTTCATTTGCAATCAATGTAATTACACTTTAAAGAGCAGGGATAGTTGAAAATGTCACATTTTATCACATTACTTTCAATGTAAAATATGTAGGTACATGTTTCTACATGTGGGATGTACATCTTTTTTAAAATCTGTACACCTAATCACAGCTGTGGTACAATACAACTTTTCCTCTTTTTTTCAAGATTAAATCGTAACCGAAAAGGGCACTGCTGAAATCATTTTTAGGTTAGTGTAGTTGGCAAACAGGAGAATGGTGTTTTAGTACCTTACACCACCACCAGAAATCACCAAGTCTTACTTGTACGTCAGGGAGCATTGACTATTTCCCAGATGTTTAACGAGGAAAAGACAGATGCATATTATGAAACTTGGAAGTTTAGAGCAACCGGACTTTTTGTTTTGTATGCGGCTTTTGTCTGTTTGGGCAGGCTACTGAAGGTGTCAGGTATGGGAGACTTTCTATTGAAAAAATCAATCATAATGGTCATTTTAGCTTGTCAATTTTCGTCACTTCGAAGCATACTGCCACAAGAGATAACTTCCTCAACATACTTAACTCTGGCTATGTCGATATCATTATTTGTAATTGCAATTGCGTGGTTTGTGTACAGGCCATGGGTGGGCGCTGCATTGGTAATGGCTGCAGTCAGTCCCTTTGTATACTGTGTGATGGGTTTGTATAGTGTCGCTGAACATCAAAGCATCAATTAAAATTATTTGGACTTACAATTTGTTACTATATTGTTAAATAAAATATTAATATAGTATGCGCATTTTTTGCCCCATTGAATATATAGTAAATTGATGACTTGGTCACATCAGCTGCCTGGAAGAGGCGTGGCCATACTTCACTAAACATGAATCCTGAACACTTTCAGTGATACATTCACGGAAAGTAACTCCCTGCCTTGAATAACAAAAACATGCCGGACATATATTAGAAATGTTAACCACAGATGCTTTTAATAAAGGGCAGCGTATCACATATTGCAAAAATCAGATTGCATATTGCCCAATGCTAGTGTTCTTATTTACGGACTTTTTTTGAAATTTTAATCCTAGTTTTAGTTTACAGGGCGACAATGCTTAAACATAATCATGCAAAATAAATACTGTTCTCTCTAATGTGGGAACTCGACATATCACGAACCAAGTGAATTGTAAATAACTTAACGGACCATGAACACATTCCGTATGAGACACGACACAGAAGAAAAGAGCAGCATAAAAAAAATACACAAATAAATTATATTGCGAATATAAAAACTTTTTACAAACGCCAAAAAATGTAACAAAAACTTATGATAACTCGAATCCCGCTTGTTGTTCAATTGCTGCCAGTAACTTCGTTTTAAGTAATTGCTCTTCTTTTATCACTGGTAATTTCAATAAATTCAAACAAGTGCTAGCAGTTGGCATCCGATTCTCACTACCAGAAGATTGTATGCAGAAAGGCGGATTGAGTTCCTAAAATACAGCGTTACAACATATCATCTTTGCATAAGCAATGTACCTTAAATCCTAACAAAGGAGGACGCGAGCAACTTGTTACAAATTTTAGCAGTTGTTTTTTCTGGGTGTCTGTGAATTTTTCAACTATCTTCCAAAATAAAATCATTGTGGAGTGCTCCGGAGTAAATTCGCCTGGAAAAAAAATTGCATGATATAAATTGAAGGTAAGTAGCTCCATAATTACCTCCATAGGATGTATGGGCTTTCAAATCATCAATGTCCATTTCTTGTGTGTCACCACCGATAATGACTTGAAGTTCTAAATGATTGAACAATCGCAACCACAGCAAAGGAACCACATTGTCTAAACCTTCCCGAAATGCATTGCATTGCTTTTTGATTTGGGTATTCAACTTAAAATTAGCTAATCTATGAATATACTCCAATCTGTTGTCACTTGTAACGGAAATGTTCGTTCCATTTGGTTTTAATTCAATCACCTTAAAATAATCAATAGTAGTAATGATCCATAGTAAAAAAATCTCACCTTTGTCTCCCCCAAATCATTATTCACAGTGGTGAAATCGAGACCCAAATCCTGCACATCCCCGCTGTACTCGCGAAGATAAAGCAGATTTCTATACAAAATTGGATCCAACGATTTCAGATAGTAAGCGCTTGCCCGATCGATCAACAGCTTGACAAGAAAAAATTCGGCAAGCGGTAAATCGACTAAAGTATTCTCAAAAATTGCTTTTCCAACCAGTCGTCCAATAAAGTAATAGTGATCCGTGAAATTGTCCACTAATACTGCTACATTCGGATTGGGGTACAGCATGTTGTCATTGGTCAATAAAAAGAATCCGCGGGTAGGATCAAAAGATGTCTTCAGTACTTCGCTCAAAAACTCCTTAAATATTCCCCCTCCATCAATCCCCGCCTCTTCCAATCCAGCATTGTTAATAAATTGTATTCGAATACGATGTCGTAAGTCGATTTCGTTTTGATAAGACAACTTTTCAAACGCGTCTTCGTACAAATACCTTCTTCTGATTGTAATGACGCTATCACTTAGGAAATCTCGATGTAATCTCATATTATCTCCGATACTGTAACGACACAGCTCGCGCAGTAATAGTATTCGTACATTAAATTCAATTAAGAAGGGTAACTGCTGAAGGATTGCAAGCGATCTTTGTTCGATTGTTGAGAGTGGGGGTAAATGTTCGTCTTCATCCTCGCTTACCACGCCATAAAATGGTCGAATGGTCTTTGAAAGATAGTTTTTTTTAGGTAGGTCTTGTGACACGTGGATCTTTTGTCGTGTCCAAAAACCGGCTTTACAGAAGTTCTTGCGTAAATCGAGAGTAAACAGTGTCTTTACGCAGTTCAGACACGAACTGTAAAAGTGAAGTAATTCCCGGGATGGTAAAACCGCGCTTGACCTACACATTGGAAACGCCAAGTCGATCATGCTCAACGCGATATTTTTCAAGATGTCAGCCATCGATGACAAATTTGAGTTTTTGAATGTCATACTGGTATCCGAAGATTCGGAGTCGGTCAAGGTCTCGGTGTAGAAAGTGAACATGTCACAAAAAACCAAAAGCGCCTTATGTATATCTTTCCACACAGAAAATGCAGTACTGTTCATTTGTTTTATAGTCACCTCATCTTTCGTTATTAAATCCCATATTTTGTTTAAAAAATTTCCGTTTAGCGCTAACATAAATAGCAACCTGAGGGGACACTGTTGAAGATCACTTAAATTAACAACGATACTTACATATACTTTCTGATGGCATCCTTATATACAAGTAGCAAGTTTTGGCAAAGTTGTATGACGGACATTAATAACTCTTCATTGTCGTTGTGTTCGTCGATGTACAGAATAAGTCGTTTCACTCTTTCAGAGTGGTTAAATAGGTAAATGTAGTCCTGCAGATGTACTTGTTCTGTTGAAACTTCCATCGCTTCATCGTCACTGTCATCTGCTTCGCTATTTTCTAAGACAGACAGCTGGTTCAAATTTAAGGTAAGGGTGGCCAAAACTTGAATACTATCTTGGGATGGTCCTGAAAAAACCAATAAAAGTGTAGAAGCTTGAATTTTCTTGGGTCATCTTTACTTTTAATAGTTTCAAGGCTTTAATTTAAAACCAGTTTCAGCAAGGTAACTGTTCCCAAACGAAGGGGGGGTACACAACAAATAATCGCAAAGCATTTGCAATGATCATTTCTTTTTTTTTAAATTAAAAACCTAACTCCACAGATCTTTCTTCCACCCCCACACCCCACAAGGGGTGTTCTTGAAAACTGTGGTACCTGTGGAAGTAGTAAGGGTGGTAAGCGAGAATCTGGGTCACAGAGAATCATTTCCTCGAGTCCTGACCGTCTCACCATGCCAGTAAATGTCTAGTTGAAAACCAACTGCGATTTACTTTTATTAATTTGGCTTTGGTAAATAAATGAAATCATTGGTAAATATATTATTATTATTATTAAATCACAAAATGTAAAAAAGAGTTCTTTTGAAATTAAACAACACAACTGATCTCTTAGTTTATAACCTGTTTGCAGTACGAAAAACATTGACAACCTTCATAAGCCTTCCCACTCGCTCTGGACTAACATTTTCCATCCAATTTCCATTATCTTTAAAATAAGATCCAACTATTAGTGCATCTGCCCTTGAATAGTTAGCAACATTACAATCTGTTACACCAGATCCAATAATCACAGGCAAATTACAGTGTGTCTTTAAATCCAGAAGCTCTTCAGTGCTAGCTGGACTTCCTGTCGCTATTCCTGTTAGTATAATGCCATCAGAACAGAAAAACTCAGCTGCATGTGCAGTTTCAACTAACGACAAGTCGCTTGTTATAGCATGGGAGCTGTGCTTTTTTTTAATATCTGTAAAGATGGAGACACTCTCGGCATCGATCCCTTTACGATATCTCAAAAGTAAGCCAGCATCTGCATCCATCATCCCCTCGTCGGCAATATGGCCAAAAACAAAACCCTCGGTTCGAATAAAATTAAAATTGCACACCTTGGCAACGGCCAAGGCTTCCCTATTTCCTCCAGCTAAAATCTGTAACCCGCACGGTATATTTTTCGGTACAATTTCGCGTACCCTTTCACATATCTTCGTCATGGTTGCAACGGTTTCTGGTCCAAAGTGTTTAGACTGGATGTATGGTAGATCATTCATATTTTCTACAATAATTCCATCCACTTGGTGTTTTATATATGTTTCAGCTTCCATACACGCTTTGTCTACAATACTTTGTACAGACCCGCGGTATAAAGGAGTGCCCGGAAATGCTCCTGCGTGGACCATGGCAATAACTGAACATTTATTGGGAAACAATTGTTTAAATTTGAACATGTTTATTTGCAATGGTACACAAAATTGAGGTTATGTACAAACGAAATCCCCCTTCCAAAAATAGATTAAAATAAAAATGGCTCTATAAGGGATCCTTGTGGGACATGTAACTGTGGATTTTGGTAAATGTAACATGTTTTTACTGTTATCAGGAGATTTTTTACAAGAGACAAATTGTCACATCTGAATTAATACAACCGAAGAGCACTTTATTGCGAAACACCTTTTATGTAAGTCCTATCATCTCAACTTACCATAAAGTACTGGTTCCAATGCCAAAATGCAATACAGTAAGCTATTGGTCGCATCATAGTTCTTATTAGTATTTAAGAACTTAATCAGGTCATTATATGGAAACACTGTAGATTTTTGCATATACGGAATCAAAATAGTTTTAACTTGTGAGGATACCTTCGGACATAGGAATTGGCTGCAAAATTCGGACAACAACAAATTCACTTGCATTAGTGATAAAGATATGGTAGACCGAAAGGGCCTTTCAATCAGTTCCATTATATCTCCTGCATAATCCTTGTCCAATAACTCACGCAGTCGGCTAAAATATCCTGTTGAATTAATTATTATTGACAACTGATTATTGTTTGAGTAATTCACACCTTTCGTCACCAAGTACGGCCACACTTCAACCTTCGCCCTTGAAGTTGCATCGGCTGTAAATACTCTGATACATTCCATTGAAGTTTTTACAAGGTGCTCGTTTTTTAAACCGTCCAGACAAAGAGAGAGTAGTCGGCGGACCAACCAACATAATGACTCATCAAAATCTAAAACTTTCAAGATTTCGGTTCGTTTTTGGAGAAGTTTATCACAAATCCTAACCTACGGTCAACAATATAGTGAAGCACTAACAATGGGATTACTCACCAAACGTTGGCCGTCAATGTGCGGATTGTAAAAGAACAAAAATTTCCCCAGTAAATGTTTGAAATCCGAATTGCTTTCGAGCTGATCGTATTTCAACCGTTCCTCATGTTTGACACGCTGTCGTACTAAGTAGCTTCTCATAAATGCCTGAATGACGACAGTACTACTCAGTTTTAATCTTTGCTCCTAAAAACACAACATTAGGTTGCACGTTAAGCCTCAGAGCGCTACCTGTCGTTTCTGTCTTTCTTCGTGAGCTCTCATCAGCAGCCTATCACGTGTTTCTTTCCTACCATCACCTGATAAATTCTGTTCGGGTCTCGTTCGATAGTTACCCTCAAAACTGTAGGACAGTTTAAATGGCATGTTTGCTGATAATCAGAAAATATTGTCATATTACTTCATTTCAGTAAAAGTAACTCAATACACTTACCCATAGTAGTTTATTAACCTTTACGAGATGTTACTTAAATTAAGAAAATGAACTCATGCCTAAGTTACTTATGACAAGTTGATAATTCAGAAATAAAATTTATTTAGAAAAGTCAAAATAAGTTACAAGTAATGACCAGGGAAACCATCACTATAGTTCAAAAGTGTTGTAGTTCTAATGTACTTCGGATTAAAAATTCTATCAATAGATATAGTAACTACTAAATCGTATACATGCGCTACTTTTTCTCGGGGGTGTATTAGTGTGCGTTTACAATGCACGTATACGTAAGAAATACATAAAACGTAATAATTTTGCAAAGTTGAACTGTATAGAAACATACGAAGGTCTTTACAATGAACGTAATTTTTACGTACGTATATGTAAGCGATATGTAAGTCTTGCGCATGGTCGCAAAGGTTGAAAATGTTTCAAAGTTACGTACGGTCAAATATCATACTACTGTAGTATGATCTTTGGTTTATTGTAAACAGCGAAGTAAATTTAAGGAAACGATACGGATATGTACGAGTTACGGTTTATGAAATATTTACGTATACGTTCATTGTAAACGCACACTTAGACGTTCTGTTTCTACGAATTGGCTACTACCAAACCTATGGGTGGATTCTGAATTTAGATAGAAGGTCCTTTGTGCTATTTCGTTGTATCGTTAAATACTTTATTTAAACAATGATATAACTATAAACAACTCCACGCCTCTCTATTGTAGGTAATGACTACGATTGCCCTAACGACTTATAACAACTATCTTTCAAGAGTAAACATTAAAACCTTAAACCTTAAATTGATTGTAAATAAAAGCTCACAATTATCTAGAAAAGAAACCTTAGAACCTTGTGGATGTTAAGTAACAGAAACTGACACAAAACCACCAAGATGCCACAATAAAACGTTAATAAATGGGTTTCGGCAGCAAAGTTGCGTCATATTCACTGAACAATTGCTGATGACCACAGCTATTAAAGTTCTATTCTTGCTGTTTTTGTTTCTTAATTAATTTCATAATTGATGCACAAAATTTGTAACTGTTTGGCAATAAAGGCTATAATAGCTCGTATTTCATATACAAGATATAGTTTTAAATAGGTACCTAAAACTAATTGCAGGATGCTGGGAGAGGATTCGGTTACTTCACAATAAAAAGTAACCACTACAATACAATTGCACACAAATACTCAAATTTAGTGGATTAGGGAAGAAGTAATTAGGTCTTGGGCTTCGGCGGTCCGGTGCACAAATAAATAAATAGTACGATATGTGAGCGATTTAAAGCAAAATATTTCGTTGGCGAGTTGTCGCAGTGGCTAGTCGTCCATTGACGAGTTATCGCATTGGCGAGGTGTTGCGTAGGTGAGTCAGTCAGAGACGAGTGGTCTAGTGTGGCGGGTCGCTCTTGGCGAGTTGACCGTATTTTCCGCTTGAACATCATTCAGTAGAGATTTCTAAGTTTTGACAAACGATATAGCTTAGGTTTGCAGTTTGCATGGGCTAAACTGTGAAAACTTAACAGCTGTCGTTTCTGTATTACTGCATGGTTGTTTAACAATTTCAAATTTGTAAAATCGGTCACTATTATCAATGTTGTTACGTAAAAAGGTTACATGTAGCTTGTTACAGTAAACACAAAATGTAGACAGAAAATAAAGTATTTGATCACCAAGAACCAGGGTTAAAAAAAAACGAGAGAACGTTGGCCATTTCTTTTAATCTCTTAATATCATAATAAACTAAAATACGTACTCTTGATAGTAACTATAAATTGCAACACGTCATCGTTAGCATTCTACCTATATTAATTTGGTCATGTCGGCGACAACATGGCAAGTTACATTTACCTAAGTTAACTTAAAGGTGAGTCAATAACTTACTATAAGTACTAAACATATACGTAATTTCATCGCGCCTAATTACCTATGATCAAATTTGAAGTCTTGAACTGTTATCGATTTATATCCCAATAGGAAAACTCATTACACCGTTCTTTTTTGGCACTTTTAAAAGAAATCAAGATCTCCAAGTTCATCACCACCATATAAGTATTCGTAAACGGAACTTCCCAAATCGTCTTCATCCTTTTCATCGTTCCGCATCGATCTCGCATTCCGTTGTATGTCCATATCAGTCCCATCGAAGTCTTCATCTTGGAAACCGGAATACTTTTCTCTAATGTCCTTCATGACACAAGCTTCCATCTTTTTATACTTGTAGCACTTGAAGAAGAACATCGGCCTGAAGAATTCTTTGGAAAGCGGAGATTTTTCTTTATTCACCTCGGGAATGCATTGCTAGAATCAGGAACGGTTTCCATTTATTGGAAAAAAAAGGTTCGTTAGACTAACCGAAAATTGTTGGCAGAAAGTTAGACCTTCCTGAATGTCGTTGCGTAACTCTTCTTGTATTGGGAGCCGGGATATTCTCTCGGTGATTTTCGCGTAGTTGGGTTCCAGATTGTCATCTAGATATCCTAGCTGTTGCATTATGCACGTGACGTTCTTCGCGCGTCCACTCATCTTGCTCGTCAGTAGCTCCATTTGGTTGCGTAAACTGTCAATGTTTCTCTAAAGAGATCGTATTTTATTGCTGAAAGTGTAAATTGAGCTTCATCGCACTTACCGCAGTCCTTTGGCCGCTGTAGTACTGGTGCCCAAGGAACGGTATGGCAAACGGAGACGATGATCCATATGGCAAAAACTGTTGATACATATTGGGAAGGTACATTGACGCGGGATTGGGATAGCCCGCATATATTCCAGGTGTTTGGTAAGGTCTGAATGGTCCCGGTATGACGTTGGGGAAGGGATATTTTTGATGCTGAACAGGCCGATAGCCTAGTATTGCTTGGTTAATTTTTTCGACATCAATTTGGGCTTGCGCATTTGCGTATATGGTGTTGTCGGGATCGGCGAACCCTTCGTCCATTTTGGGTGGTGCTGCCGGTATTGGTCTTGCTGCAGGCTGATAAAAGTGAGGTTTGTAAGCCATGTTGTAAGATGCACATTTTGCGCCTGCCGCCTTCATTTCATTTCTGATCTGCTTGATGACTTCATTTCCAAAGCAACTTTCGTAGATCTGCGCAAAAAAGAATATCTAGAATGCACCGAGCTAGATGCGGATTTCATTTATGCTTAAGTCCATGAAAAAGACCAGAAGTGCTGTATCAGAGAAAGGGCAACTCTTTTTCGTTCCCAAGACAATTGTGTTTTTCCTGTATACCTACACGAATTTTATTTAGGGAATAAGTATCAGAAAATGACCGCCTATGAACTTCCACCAAAATGAACACACCGGAGATCTTGGCTTTTGTACATACGTGTTGAGTATTATACCTACCAGAAACATTGTGATGATCTATTAAGAAGTACGAAACACTGTTTGAAATTAAAGGTTTCAGGTATCAACAAAGAATGCAAGTTAATGCAAAGGAAAAGATAATAATCTTGTGCAAATTGGAGAAAAATTGGAACAAACTACTTTTGCTAAAGACTACAATAAAGCACTACTCCAATTGGGGCTTAGATGCTCAACAAATGGAGAATAAAAGTTGGACCGTTATGGCAAACTCTCTCTGTGTGTAAGTTTTATGTAGTAGCAATTGCAAATGATGCTTGAAATTCTCGCACAAATTTTTACAAAAAATCATGTAGTTTTAGTGTAATTCATTCTAAGATTTGGTTATCCTATGAATGGCCATCGCATTTCAGTTTTTTTAAGGAATCTGGCTTAACTTCCTCGATTACTTTACTCAGTGGAACGCAATTGGATTTTTTGTTTATTTATTATTTACTATTTAGTGGTGTAAGCGACTGACAAACCGCAATTCTCAGTTGAGTTGATATTGTAAAATTAAAGTCAATTTTTCCGAAGAAAACTAATTAATTTAAAAACTACCTTTTCGGGTATTAATGTGTGTAATAATTTGTAAACGATTAGGTACGTCTGTCTGTTTTACAGCTTAATTTTCTCCATTTGTTTCAAATAGTATCCCTCTGTTACAAAAAAGTAATTATATTCATCGTTACGATAGGTTAATATCCTTTTGACAAGATACGAGCGTAGTGAAGAAGATAAAGAATGTAGCAATTTTTTATCTACCTGTACCTACCTCGCTGCTTCTAATTTCTAACATTAGATTCGAATTCAACAAAAGGCATTTAAAAGATAATGGCTGCCTTGTAACTAAAATCAATGACCTATTTGGACGAACTGTATTTAATTACCTTCATCATTGCGTATTTTTTTATGAAACGATCTTCACTTCCGCCAAAACCATAAATTGAAACTATAACGCAGCATGTTAAGCACAGCTTAAGTAACGACATGTCTTCTGAAACAGAAAAAAAATTAAATTAATTATGAGAATTCAAGCCTATTAGAGATATTATGAAAAATTAATGAAGATTGTATAAGAAAAAAGAACCAAATTGTTAGCATGGTTCGACTATATACCATTACCATTAAGCTGTCGCACCAAGTTAATAAGTATGAGTATTTTAATTAAAAGAAAAAACCGAAGGAAGTATTCGCAGCATTTAATTTTTCGTGTTTTACACACGCACATCAATTAAATCCTAATTATATATGGCTTAATGTACTACCTGATGTGTGTAAATTTAATGTAAGTATGAGTAATGCGTGTAACGGTGAACAAATTTGTTTATTCAAAAAAATTCGAAATTTAAATATTTCAAAATTAGTCGGTAGTTGTGAACATTAAATATTGTTAACCAAACAGTACGCTAAGTAAATTGTTTAGGTCATTTGAGGTCATCTTGCCTACAGTAGATGTATGTATATAGATAACGGTGATGGTCTATTAATCAGTTCCAGCTTCTTTTAAGTGAAGAAGTCATTGGAAAAATCTATTGCGAATACAAAGCAATATCATCTACTCGCCAAATCGAAACGGTGAAATTAATCGCAAATCATTTCAAATTTCCGGTGCCTTTAATCATAAAAAAAACTTTGATTGTTTCGTAATCGTTTTGAAATCAATGACGAGACGAAATGGAAGGCGCTTCTTTGATGAACAAGACAACAACAACGAGAACTGACTTAAGTAGACAAGCCATTAAAAAATTCAAATTAGATTTCGTTAAATCGTTACAGGCACTTAAATGTCTTTCCTAGCAAATTCTTGAACAGTTTCTGAGAGACGTACATGACCGTATATTAAAAATGGCAATTTTCGACTGTAAAAATATTAATTTTCGGCTCTTTTAAAGTAACTTTAAAAGAAAATGGATGTCGATTGTCTATTGTCTTCTGTTTAAATTCTACTTCTTCTCTTTCTCAAATTAAGAAAAGGTACCTACTGGCATACAAATAAGTGCTTCTTCTGTAGGTATTCGCCGCAGTAGTCATAAATTATAGGTAGTTACTAAGCAACTAAAAGCTTGCACGACGTAAAAAAATTTAAAGACTCTGTCATTATCTCGTTAAAATAAAATAAAGTGCGCAAGTAAATGATTTAAGGTATAAAACATTTCCTATAATTACAGTCTCTAATTACAGTAACCAGAAAGTTAATATCCTATCCTTTAAGCACGTCAAGCAAAGGAAATAAGTAACTGTTTAATACTAATTTCTAACAAGAAAATGAAACCAAGAAAGTAAGGGTCGAGAATACGTTTAATGATCAAATTGTTCCTCTTCACAAATCAGAAAATGGTTTTCTACTGGGGTTTACTCCATAAAATGGTCTTACTAGCATAAAACGAGGCTGTTTTTAACTCAAAATTAAATATCGCACAAGACCACGGTTTCCCTATAACCATAACATATCTGCATGTCGTCTACTTATTCCTTACTTAAACTGTTAGGTATAAATTATATACCCAGCCAATAATATTTGATCTTTCGGTGAGCGTTATCATGATTTATTGTCAGAAACTAGTGATACAGATGACGGGGCCAACGTTGGAATTTGTTAAGATACCTATAGCCGCTTGCAGGTTCCAGGCTTAGATCAAAACTGAAGATTATGCTGAAGTCAATTTCATTTCCTTCTTCCAATTTAGATGTGAAATGACCAAAATAGAGAAAACAATGTTTGATTATAGAATTATAGAAGATACCTTAATACTATTATTGCAAAATAAATAAACCTCAGTTCCAGCTTTAAATTCTCGTAAAAGACGACTATGCAAAAATGACTATTAAAAACGTCGTTAAAGAAGTTAAGAGGCAATTATTACATCGGAAATCTAAAAAATTTATGAAAAATATCATAATGACTATAATATATTGCGCAAAATCATAATGTACATTTGAATATAACCATAAATTACATTAAATTAAACCATTTAATAGTTCATTGTCAATTTTATTCTCTAATTTTATTTTAACGTTATTATAAAAAGGTACCTACCTAAGGATTTCGTATGGGAAATAAGGTTTCGCCATATTTTCGGAAAAATCTTAAAGTATAAATTTGGCAGCTTTTTGGAAATGTGTATGTTGGGTAGGTAATAGGCCGGTTGTAGCACGATAATTTAATATTAATTTAGTTTAGTTGAGAAAGTTGAATGCTTGATATTCAAAAATTTTATATCAGGCTTCTTATAATCAGTCAACTGAACTCAGTTTGAACCGTCGTTGTACAACCAGCCACTTAGTTTTATTTCAATAATAGCGACATACACACCCACACTTAGTTTACCATTACCTACTTTTATTAAACACAAAATTGCCCAAAACATAACATTTACCTATTAGATAGTACCAAAGCTCCAGACAGATTTATTTTGTATTTGGAAAACAAAAAAAGGGACTTTGAAAAGCAACAACTGGGCCAAATAGAAATTAATTTCCACAAGAATAACGCAAGAGATTTCTTCCAAAAGTAAAATTAAAGGCTACCAATCCTGCACAACTTAAATCTCCAGATGCCAAAGAAATAATTGAATCTCTAAAAAAAAACAATACAGCTAGTGGCGAAGACAATATAACTGCAGCAATACTAAAACTCAATTCCCCAAAACTAGTTGCGACGAATTGGGACATCTACTTTCTGAAATTTGTCAAAACGAAAATATCCCCAAGATTGAAAAAAAAGGAGATAAAACAGGCCCCATCAACCATATCGTACTTACTTGTTGTTAACGTAATCTCTGTTTAAGTATTAAAAATAGCAGTTGGAACATCCTGTATGTAAAATGATTCACGTTAATTTCATAGGATCTGGGTATTTTATTTAAAATAGACACAGAACTTGTTGACTTGTCATTTTCATGTTAGTTACTTATTGTATATTTAGTCAGTCATTATATAATTCATTTCCTTGTATTTAGTTTAAAGTTTAAAACGCAAAGGTGCGACTGGACTACCAAGCAGGGACAGATTATCCTTTGTCATAAATTTTATATATACTGAAAACCTTTCAATTTTTCTTCGATTCTGGGATAATGAAAAGATAAACCTCCGAAAATAAATGCTTCGCATTTCGCCCAATTTAACTCCGAGCCATATTTGATATTTGATACAATAATAGTTAGTAAATATTGAAAAACGGTGTCTGGGGTTCCACCCAACGCAGCATCATCCAGATACCATAATACTACCTAGATCGGAACTTAAGTTTTGAGTTAAAGGTGCGATAGTAATGCAGAATCCTAGTGGTAAAATTGGATAGTATAGTTTAGTTAAACACGTTACACGTTAAAAAATTTGCGATTAGATATTTTTATCGTATTTTGGACCTTATTAAACACATGATCAAACAATTTTCCAAATTTAGCTTGTTGGGCGGATAAGGTATACAGCAAATGACTGCAATAGAGCACCCATTTCGTTGAGAAGTGGACTAAACAATTAATAAGTATATGGTATGCGATTACTTAATAGTGAATTATAGAGTAGTACATATTAAATCCAAATTCGTGTACAAATAACACATTTTTTCGATCATTTCAGATCTACCCTTAATGATGAAAAAAGAAGGTCATAATTTTTTTGTACCTTTTTACTTTAAATTTTTATGGGTAAATTTTGTGCAATAATGCTCGTGCAGAGAGTCATTTTTTGAGTCCTATCGCGTACTAGTTTGAAATTACAATTTTTACCCTCTCAATTATAGGTTTCTAATTTGATTTAGGATATAACTTTGTAATTAAAAAAACGACATCTGAAAACGGTTTAATATTAGGCATGAAATCATTCAAAACCATAGGGAACAACATCCGAAGAACCGCGTATGATTTTCAGTAGGGGATTTTTTTGACACTCAGCTCGCATTCGGAAACACGACTTTTAGTTCGGCTCATATTCAATAGCACTGATCTGTTTTCGTTCACAAGGTAGACGAGGGACAGACGGGCAGACAGACGGATGGGCAGACGGACGAACAAAACCATAACATTTCCCGAAAGAATTCCCTTAAAAATCCACCTTGCACATGGTACCAGTGCCCAGTGGGAGTACAAAAAAAGGTTAAAGCGTGTTATATATCCTGCGTATAGAAATTTAAAGCATAAAACGAAACTGCAATAGTCTTATACTATATTATAATTTTAAGGTGAGAGTAGAAGCTAGTAAGTGGAGGCCTGATACACAAAACAGCACATTTTAAAACTAGAAAAAGTATTTTCAAAATTATGACAAATTAATTACACCACAAAGTCAAGAAAGATCTGGAAATGAAATGATTAATCTTTTGATTTTTATTACAACCAAAATTGTTATTGGGAGAGACTCTAGAGCTCATCCAGCTCATTTTACACAAAACGATCACATGAAACAATTTTAACGAAATAGCAACGCGTGCTTTGCGCGTTATTTTGATACAAAGACATGAATATTATCGTAGGCAGTGTTGAAGAACGGATTCTCCTTCTTGGCATTTGTTGTGACAAATTTAATTAAACGTGAAAATAATTACGCAGGTTTGTTTATAGCAAGAATCATTTTGGATTGGTATTGGTTTCAATTGAAGTGAACATTTTTCTCACTTCTTTTACACCCTCAGTCTTGATTTCATATAATAAAACGCTTGGCTATCCCTGTACGCAATTAAACAAATTCCAGAAGTGTCTTGAACTCAAATTATATCATCGTGCCAATTATAAAGGCTGCTCATTTAATATACCTACTTCCAAAGTGTTCAGCGCAAAATTCTTACATTCCAGCTTTACTTGATAATAATTAATTACGGTCGACAATTTCAACCTCTACTAACGCAAGTGATTGTGCACACTAATTGACTAACTTAATAACACCTGCTGCTTCTATTGAAACACAAAAAAAAACCAATGAATTGAATTAAAATTCTTAACGTAATCAGTGAAGCTTTAAATTGTAAGAAATGAAAACGTAGTTGCTTTCGCTTGTATATGCACTCGGTAATATTTAGGAGTCAAAAAACCTCCCTTAAGTACCTACCATGATTGCTTATGGTATTTAGGAATTTAACAATGTAGACGCGTAGTAGGTACCTACTGCCCAATTTTTATTATAGGACGATGATTTTTTTTAAAAAAAAGATAGAGCATCTTTTTGATTTATTACCGGGGCGGGGGTCCAAGGTAAAGGTGGATAATTTGTAATTAATATGTGTTATTAAAATGCGTATCACTTACCTGAAAGTAAATGGATATGTTTGACACCAACGAGTAGATACTTAAGAAGAACGTATAGGTACTTTGATAACAAGTTCTCGTGTGTACATTTATATTCCTCCTTCTCTCTATCTTCACCGCCTCCACCCAAAGAAATGCGTGACCTCCACCAAGTGCACAAACTAGCTAATGCAAAGTTCAAGAGCAAGAGGTATTTCACACACGAAGATTAATTAATATATGGTGAGAGAATGAATCTGTTTCCTTCTTTTGTGTATCCACCTATTACTTAACATGTGTAAAAAAGAAGCTTAATTTCGCATGTGTATACAACGGTGCAATGAATCCACGTTTGAGTTGATGATGTCACTGATATGTGTTAGGTGGATGACCGTTATTGCTCGGTTACCGTTGAAGAAGATCCACATTAATATTGACGACCGTTTCAGATGAAGATCTCTTTTCGGTATTCCAGCCCAATTACCGCAACACTTTTTACATAAGGAGTTCGCACCTTTCTTATGTCATCTACATCTCATCTACATATTCTGATGGCTGGAATTGATTGCTCTCGACGTTGTGCGTGAGCATGCACGAAGATCTTCTGTAATTATAGATTTGCATGCATCTTTTAAATGGTTTTACATGAAGCCTGCGTGTAAGGCGAACACATAATCAGACTAATTTACACTATTACGTGGAATATAACAGAGTTACCTACGCGTACTGTTTACTGTTCATTTAATTTTATGGAATGGAATGTTCCAAGCACCATAAGCGTCCATCTGCTTGAAAACAAACTTCGAATTTACAAGCATTACAGTAATAAAGGCGTAGTAGGTCAAATGTACCTACCAATTGTCCACATTTTCACAAAAGGTTGACCACGAAGAGGTACCCAGAAAATACATTCTCATGGTTGTGCTGAAAGGATCAGAGATATGTGACTATGTGGATAAATATATAATAAATAATAGTTTAAATCACTTTCCACCCTTTTTGTGTATTTTTTGTATGCTTTTTTCTTCAAATTAATAACCAATTTGGGTGTGTCCGTAACACCGAGGTTTTCGTCGAAGAACGTTAGTAGTTAGAGGTGCATAAATGTTGAATAGTGGCAAAACTTGAGCATTCAAGTACCCACTACCCCCTAAGGGGATGCGACTATCCAGCTTTGTTGCAAAGATTTGAGATCACTTCTCTTGAAAGACGTCGAATTGATGCAGGCAAGTGGACTGCCCCAATTACTCTCTTTAATAGACATTTTAGTGCCTAGGCAATCATACAGACAACATTGCTTTTTCCAATGCAAAGGAGCTGAAACGAATCTTAACGTTAAAATCACCAGCGAATGATACATATGTGTAGGAACTTCAACAAAATATCTCATAGTTGTGATCTCTTTAACTCCGTCATTTCTGAAATCTTAAATATATATACTCAAATATAATTTTTTTAATTTTTTTTTCATAATATTTCATTAAGTTATCTATTCGTTATTTTGTAATTTATTTGCTCTGTAAATGGTGTTTTACTGTGGGGCAATATACGCTATTAATTTACTTTTTCTTTTATTTCTTCTAAGCATTCAAGATGATTCCACTTGATTTCAGGGGCGTCATTTTCAAAAACATTTAGGTCGAAGTTACGATAATTGCAATAAAGCAATTAATTTCCATTTTCTTAGTGCAGTAACTAGGGCAGTTACAATCGTGTATGATCCTTGTCTTGACAGTGTTAGTGGCAGAAGAATTCAACAAATTCAAAGCTGTTGTGTAAGCTATTTTTTGGAAAGTTTGAATCAATTCATAATAATCTTCTGCACATCAAGAATTGGCGGAGTTTAATTTGAAGATTATTATACCTATTAATCAAGGTCTTAAAATCATTTGGCTGTGAATCTTTTACTTGTATTCACAGTTTATTGGTGATTTGAAAACATTTGATTACAAAAACATGGTACTTTCTTATAGATGAAGTCTGGGAGGGTGTCTTGCAACGAGTGTAACGAGTTGTCGCTTTAGACTTACTGTAGGGGTTTCCTCTATGTCTACTTTTAAATGACAAAATCGACTAATTTTATGTAACCAACATAACTTCTATGGTTGCTTTGACCAAAGAGTAACTAATAATTCTTTGCTTTGACTTCCGTATTTTAATTTTCATTTGTGTGCGATTCAACTGAAGAAAAAGTTGATGCCTGATACAATGCCGATAACAGTTTAAGCGTAAGAGATTTATTTTCTGGAAGCCAGAGCAACAATATTCAAATTAATTAATATAACAGCCACATCTTTATTTGTTTTAACGATGTATTTTGGTTGCATAAAATTAGTCATTTTTTTAAATTATAGAATAACCATCTCCCTCGTAGCATAAAATTTGCAACGCTTCTTCAACAATGCGTTACTTGCCCTTTCTGTGCCATTTAATAATTTAGGGGTTACAATAACAGTAGTAGCTTACTCCTGGAGCTTACTTAACATTGATTTCAGATATACTGAAGTCCTGCCTAAGAAGGAATTGCAGAAGCAGCAGCAGTTACTTATTAACCAAATTCGTGTCAGCAATCAACTAATTACTAAATTTTTCGATTTTGCATGTTTACAGCTTAGGTTTCGCGCTGAAATGATCTTTTTTTTAAATATTTTTATTGCAATTTACATTTTAGCCTTTTGAAAAATGAATAACAAATTTAACATTTAACGACAATTTACCAAAGAGTTTTATCTTTTCTTTCCCACCTTTATTTTTTAACGGCACAAATAATACTTCTATATTCATTAGAAATTAATAAAGCTCCACTTAGTTGAATTGAATCGAATTTTTGAACTTTGTCAATTCAACTGAACTAAATTCATTGACAGCATTCAGAAATAATTAGTTCAACTTAAAAAAACCAAACGATCAAATTACTTAAAAATTTACAATACCTGTTTCCCGTTCTTATTACCTACCGTGTATGTGAACGTACCAAAGCATGCAGGTACGTGAGTTACATCCGTTGCCTTGGTTTCGTTTTGACAGTTAATCCTTTGCAAATTTTCTAACCTTACAATTTACAATGTCAATATGATATTTTACATTACTTTTACAAGTATAATATTATTTTCATTTTATTTTTCATTTATTAACTGTGCTAATGATCAATGTTCTTTAACACATAACTCTAACTGCGATGAAACATACGACAATAAGTATTCTAGGGGTAAACGTAGGTAACAGTTTCAGCAGTTGCTATAATGATCCGGTTTCAGAAGCGAATGATATTTTTTCAATATACTTGAGGAAGTACGAAGAAGCAAATCAAGCGTATTATCCTAGTAATGCGACAGGATGTAAATTTTATGTACATGTTGTTGACGAAGATCTCAAACCGTTCAGTGATGGAATTACACAGCAAATGATCGAGGGAATTAAGACAAGGTAGCAGTTGTTGCTGTGATCATTTACCCAGTTGTCCTTTACAGAGGCACAAAATACCAGATCATTAATGGTCGTCTGTATAGAGACAAGGATTGTATGTTTCCCTCACGGTGCTCTGGAATCGAGTACTTTTTACGCAAACTGGTCAGCAAGTTGCCAGATCTCGAATGTGTTATAAATACAAGGGATTGGCCTCAAATATACAAAGGGCATGGCGTGTTTGGTCCAATATTTTCTTTCAGTAAGACGAAGGATTATAATGATATTATGTATCCGGTTTGGGCTTTTTGGGAGGGAGGCCCTGCTATCAGTCTGTACCCGGGGGGTATAGGTATGGAACTGTTCTTGATTTTTCGTTAGTAACTGCCAGTTTGCTAGGGAAATGGAATGATCATCGTCTTTTAATCGCCACAGTTGCTAATTCTACTTCCTGGAATGACAAGCTGAATGTGGCCTTCTTTCGTGGGTCTAGGACGAGTTCAGAACGAGATCCTTTGGTATTACTTTCACGAGAAAATCCTGAATTAGTCGACGCTCAATATACCAAAAACCAAGCTTGGAAATCGGATGCTGTAAGTCACTGACTCGGGCTATTTGAAGTTACAACTCCATCTATTCCAGGATACTTTACATGCGCCACCTGCAGCCGAAGTATCTTTTAACGACCACTGCAAATACAAGTATTTATTTAATTTCAGAGGAGTTACTGCAAGTTTTCGTTTTAAGCATATTCTACTCTGCAAGTCCCTCGTTTTTCATGTTGGTGACGAATGGCTTGAGTTTTTCTATGGAAGCTTAAAGCCTTGGGTACATTACATTCCTGTTGAAGCAAATGCGAATAAAGAGACTATGAGATTACTTATAAAGTTTGTTCAGGAGAATGACGATATTGCTAGATCGATAGCAGAAAACGGATTTAATTTTATTTGGAACCACTTGACAATTAAAGATGTTATTTGTTATTGGCGGAATTTACTAAGAAAGTATGCTAAGCTATTGAAATATAAACCGAAATTAGACAAAAATTTAATCGAGATTATATAAAGCATGTTCCTAGACTCTGTTCAAACCTCCAGGTACAGTACAATATACATACATTCCTTATTATATTATATATTTCTCCAATAATCCTAGCCTTGTTTTTTAAGCACCATAGCGGTTTGAACAGAGTACAGTGATATTTAATTGTGGTACTTAGGATTTAACTGTGTAACAATCAGTGATGTGCTGACAATAATTTTTGTGTAGCTTTAGACAATAAATCAGATCTCATAAACTAATTTGTTTCATTTGCCTCATTTGCAAGTGCAGTAACATGAAATTCTTGAAAACTTGAGAAGAGCCGCCTGTTAGGACCCCCCCCCCCCCATTGCAAAATCGGATCCTGGCTGGTGCTCAATATCACCATTTACTACAGCGAGTATCGCCACACAAGAAAGGCTGCTATATCACCATCTCTTTTTGAGCGATTTTGTACAGGAATATCAAGATCTCTGTCTCCTAATCAAATCTCTAATCCTAGAGGCCGTACAAAGGGCCCAAAAGTTAGACCCATGTGAGTGTAGAAATAAGCTCACCTTAAAAATTCACAATTTACATGCATATTGTTAATGACTACACGAGACACACAAATAAGAAAACAACTTTAATAAATTAAAACTACATTTTGTACATAGATCGATTACTTGTAGCTAGTTCATGCGCTTCAGTATGTAACAATTGAATTCCCATTTTACCCCTAACTTCTTCCATAGTACAACTGGCAATTTCCATTGCCCTACTTGTACCTACATCCAATACATTTCTTAGATATTGAGGTTCTTCCATCAATTCTTTTATCCTTTGTGAAATTGGTGAAATGAACGATATGACACAGTCAGCCACCAACGATTTATACCTAAAAATAAAATGACAACCTCAACACGCATTGATAGGTTGCAACCTACTGTAAGGTGTCCATCCCCTCAACTTCCTTCAGTATAACTTCTACAGTTTTGCCACTTAAGCTTGAATGCATCATTACTAAATTTGAGACCCCCGGACGCTCATCTGGATCAAATGTAATCTAAAAATTCTTTTAAGTACAATTTATTTTAAATCACACATACCGCAGATGTGCAGTCAGTCACCGACTTTCTAATTTTCCTGGCAATTTCGTCTGCTGAATCAGTCAGGCATATCCTACTCTTTGCATCAGGATCTGATTTAGACATTTTCTTTGATGGATTTCTTAAACTCTTTATTTTGGAGGTGCCTTTGGGGATTTAAACATTTTGAATTAATATACACAACAGAATAATTACCTGTTACGATAGCGTGCGGTGAGGGAAATGTGAGTCCATACCGCCTGTTAAACATACGAGCTAAATCTTGCGATAGCTCCAAATGCTGTAGTTGATCATCGCCAACCGGTACATGAGTGGCTCTACAGGATCAAGTGATTATGCTGGAGTAACATACTGCAACTTACTTATAAAGCATAATATCTGCAGCCTGCAGAACTGGGTAAATGTATAAACCAAGGGGGACATCTTTTAAAGTGGCCGACTTCTCCTTGAACTGAGGTAAATGTGCTAATCTAAAAGTGGATATCAGTCACTGTTGCGCAGAGCGAAATTTTGAATTAAAGCTAACCACCTTGCCATTGTGCAAATGCAACTAAAAATCCAAGCAAGCTCTGTGTGTTGATAGACCTGCGATTGTTGAAACAAAATTAATTTGCTAGTATCTACGCCGCAAGCTAGTAATGTAGCTGTCATTCTCAATATATTCTGGTACAACTCTTTGGGATCCTGCAGTGGTGTTTGAAAATAACTCCCTGTTATTGTAAGGAAATACAACCTGTGGCAAGGTTATGGCGTGCAAGTCGACAACACTTAAAATTAGATCTTCCTTGTTCTGTAGATCGACCCATTGCTTTATAGCACCTAAGTAATTCCCCAAATGTATATCCCCAGTGGGTTGTATTCCCGAAAAGTATTTCGTAGGGAAAGAAGGATCCGACTTCTTGAGCTGCAATAGTGAACTTTAATTCTGAACTATTCGTGAAGGAAATACTTTGGTAGACATCATACGTATTGACTTTAATTTACGTGTAAGTACTATTGGTAACCGATTAATGAAGAACATGTTAATTACAATAATTATGTACAAATTTGAAAAGATACCTAACCTAACCTAAAATCCATAAACCCCCCTGGCAGTGGCACCTATATGCTATTCAGTTGTCCGTACGATGTGTTTATTATACCAACCGAATATACAGGAGGTTGTGTAAAAACTTCCGGGTTTAGAACCAGGGATGAGTAAGTAAACAATTTCATGTAGTAATCTATGTGTCAATAATGACCTAGATGTAGACAATCCCCAACATGTAGACAATGTAAACATTTTACACTTTTTTATTTAATATTGATATAACGTCGTACGAGCAGGCATGGGAAAGCCTCTGGAAATTCTGTTAAACACTTTAAAGTTCAATGTAGGTATCCTAAGCGTTTGTTTTCAATACCTTCTGTGCCCTACTCTATGTTCTTTTCAAAACAGTTTAGTCACTTTTTCTAGACTTTTGAATTTAATTCTAGTTCCTTTCTTCCTTTCTATCTGAGAGGCATTTCAAACATTTGGGAAGGTTCTACTAAAGGACTCCTGAACGCAAACTAAAACTCAGATAGTCGGCCAGGCGCTTACTGTAGAGTTATAACTCCTTTCCAAAACTTTCTAGTCATTTCCAAAAAGTTGCTGTAAAAACGTTCCAGAGCTCTTATGCAATTTTGGGGGATCTTAGACATTTTCCAGACATTTATAGACTCCTAAATCTGGGAAGAAATTTACAACGTATTAGCTTTTTTAGAGTCGTCTACGACTTTTCTATACCTTAAGTCAAAGTGACAGAGGTCTCTAGCTCTATTCACAGATAAACTTAAGTATTTTCCAGACGTTTTTTTAGAGTTTAGTAATAGCTTTCTAAATCATACAAGCACATGATCTTTTTAGTGCGTTTTGCAGCACATTCTAGGCTCTTTTTAGAGCTTGCGTGGAACTTTTTAAGCTGGGTTGGTTTTGGAAAAGTGTCATCAAAGTCTAGAATCAATCTAAGGGTTTGTTGGAAATCCCTTAAACTGCTCTGGAATGTGTTAAAAAGGTCTACGAACGTCCTCCATAGAAAAATAGAACTCTAGAGTGCTTCTATGGTTGATTTAGCCATTATAGGGACTTCTGAAGGTATGAAAATAAATTCTGAAAACGGCAGGGTCACTTTGAAGAAGGGCGGGGAGCAGCACCACATAATACCAAACAGGGCCTAACAAGGTAGGGTGTCGCCAAGATCTTGTGTTCAATAATTCTTCAGAATTGTTCTCTTTTTACAGTTTGAAACCTCAACGAATTATATGCAGGAGTGAACATACAATTGAAGCATGAAGAATGAAAAATGTGCAAAACTGTCCATAATTGTAAATTTTATTCAAAATAAATAAATATTTTTTAGAATGTATTATAATGCCTATTTTTTATTTTTCATTTTAAATAACGGCACAAAAATCAATTCCCTTTTTACATTTTACATACTTTTTTTTGAATGTATTTTGCATTTCCTATTTTAATTAGATAGCTCAGTGTATTTTACCCAGCCCTGAAATACACCATGTAGTACCTACAAACAATTATTGATATATTCGAGGATACCTATATTCAGCTTTTGAATTGGCGCGTGCACTGTTATTTACGAGTAGTCTTAAGTTTATTTTTGTGCATTGTACCAGTATCTTTTAATTTGTAATGAAACTTTTTTTAAAATTCTATTGGAAGTTAGAAATTTTGGGACTTGTAAGAGTAGATATCTAGAGAATATTTTACCATAATTAGTCACAGGCACATACCTACAGGTAGGTAAAGATAAAAACTAAAAGGATATTGTATTGAGTTTCTAAGAATAGAAATAGCCAATCAATCCATGAAATTTACTGTTGAATAATGTACTTACAGCAATTATTCGGTAATAAATAGCATTAGGTACTTTTACATCCTATTTACTATAAGTACCAAATAAAGTAATTACCAAGAAGTGTAAATGACTCAAATTTAGAATTTATGATAGAGGGTTTTACTTAATCTTTTCTAATAAAGCAATCTTGAAATATAATAAAAAATATTTCTGTGAAACAATGACGGGTCAGCCCGGTCAGGGCATTACAACTAAGTGAAGATTAAGAGTAATTGTTTACAGTAGCAGACAATTTTTAAATTGCAAATAATGGCATGCTGCTAAAACTAACGCGCGCCCACGACGTCCTTGCCGTTTGTTGGCATTCCTCAAGATCACAATTGTACCAAAAAGAGTAAATAATTAATATTTTAGTAGCATGTGTACTACAAACTTTTGTGGAAATAGAAAGCGATCTTGCTCTTTGTAATGATGATCGTATATAAAACATATCCTGAGGAATCATGATGATGGGTTTTAAGACCATTTCATGAGCACGTTAGGGAATGGATTCGAATGAAGTTAAAGAAAGAAAAATTACTAACGAGGAATAAATAGAATTTTCTTTTGCTTGTGATGACTTTCATATTTGTGATGGTCTATTGAACTTGACCCTCGCTTGCTTTAATAATCATTTACATTACATCATTGCGAACACTAGCAAACTTATTAATGTTCTTCCATACCACGCTTGAAAATGTTTATTGCTTCATTGCAACACTGATTTATGTCCTGAAACTTTGTAATCGGCTGATCGCACGCTACGTTTGTGGACCCAACCCAAAATATTATGGTTGTCTTTTTATTGATTGATCGTTAACGTATAATGAACAGAACCAAAACACCGACATTTATTTCAATTTTATACGGGTCAAAAGGGCAGTTAGTAAACTAATGGTAATGGTACCTACCCACCTATTCGTTGTATTGGGGCGAAAGTTTGTACCTACTTATTGGCAAATGGCTATGTCGAAATATTTAATTTGGTGATTTGGCCGAGAATATAACAATAGTCCCATCATAACCTATGTGTATTTGCATACACCTCTAAATGACATGTTGAATAATGTGCTAAATAGTTGGGGGAGACTCGGATTATAGAAAAATCAGATTCCTCTTCACAGGAAAAATGTCCATGCATTGAATTTTAGAATTGAAATTGTACTCCATTTTATGAAATTTGCTGATAATTTCAAAAAGACAGTTGTTAACGCCGAGGTTTTCCCAAACATTGGGATGATAATAATAAGGGATGATTCGTCACCTTTACAGCACAGAAAATTCTGAAGGGATGTCGTTATGGTAAGGATTTTACATTTAGCGAATTTCTCACAACCCCACTCGTCTTTGACTTCTGACCTTACATTTTTTAAGAGATTCAAATGTCGTTTATTGAAGGTCAACATCATCACTGACTAACACAATGTCCGGTAGAATATCTAACGTACATTAATAGAATAAAAGATTTAATATTTATGGCCAAATATTATGAATTACAAATGTTCTTAGTTCTTACATAAATTTATTTTTAACTATTCAGTCGCTTGCAGTTGTCTTGCATCTCACTGTTTTACCTAAGCGGATGTCTGGTTTACCTACATTATGAATGACACACAATTCAATGACAAGTAACATCGTAAAAAGGGAATTTGTCGCATACACGACGAAAGGCTACTTTCGTCGTAAGATTATCTCCACTGACACCTACTAAAACTTAGGGTAGCAAAAGCACAAAATCGGTGGTATGCAATCGTTTCACATAAGCATTAGACATTTTTGTGAAGTGTTCTATTTAACATCCACCTAAACCTTCTGCGAATGCAGTTTTAGTGGATAGTAAGAAACTGTCAAAGGGATGGAAAGCTCCTACCTGTCCAAACGGATTAGAATTAATTTCAATTCATACCAAACCTCTTGTCTAAAAAAATAAGTGTCAGATTAACTTAATTTCAGAGTAATAAGTTGGATGGTACTTGAGGACTTGCATAAGATGACGCTTTATTTGTTAATAGAACTTCTTTCAAGTAGGCTGCAAATTGTCAAGATAAACAATAATTACTCTTAAGTTTTCATTCATTTGAATAGGAACTTAAGCACCAATAAATGTTAAGCACCTATAAGTAGGTTCTTAACAGCTTTTTTCTTCTTAAATTGTACCGCAGGCATGAGACAAGCCATTATGTAAGCATCACATTTATTTTGGTCTTCATCTCACGTAAGAGTGAAGAAAGATTTTCAAATTTTACAATTTTTTAAAAAATACTCGTCCAAGAATGACGATATTTATATATGCCACAAAATACAAATTGCAGAGTAAAGCGTTAGAAGCTTTATAGGGGAGCCGGCAGTGCCCGTTTGTCTGTCCGTGAATACGATAACAGTCAAACGCTTGGGTGAATTTGGTTCAAATGTTGCACAGCCTATTGAAAATGGGTCAAATTCAATGACACCGTAGCTGTGCCGCCTTTTTAGATCCCCTTTACGAGGTTTATCATGTTTTTTTTGCAAAGTACTTAGTGCAGTCAAATTACAGTTTGGGCAGATTGAGCTGGGTGTTGTCATTTCACTCAACGGAATCAAGTGTCTTCTATGTAAAAAGATCCGCTGAATCCGAAAACCATAGTCCCCCTAGCCGAAAACTCCCGGAATATGTATAAACAAAAAAGATGAAAAAATGGCAAGATGTCGTTTCTTTTCGCATTTGACTTCAATTATCTCGTTAACTATTACTCTAAGGGAAAAAATGAAGAGAAATGAATTGGTTTAGAATTGAATTTTCTATAAGATACAGTGGGTATGAAACGTTCATTTTCAAATGTTATTGTTTTTTATGGAAAAATATAAAAAAGCAATCCCGAAGATGTTCAAATGGTTATTACTAAGTAAAATTCATCCGATCTTTTTGAAAATCTGTATCCACTTCTTTTGATAACAAAACAATATGACAAACCCGATCACCGTAGATTTGATAGTTATTGCATAATTAAATAAACAAATTTACAAAACGATACTTGGTCTTTTAAACTGGGTGACTCTCAGAGGGTTCTACATTTGTTTACAGATGATGGAATCCTAAGACAACCATTTCCAAAAATTGTCCCGATGATTCTTGCAAATTGATGCACTGTGGAATTTTGTTTAGTTAACTAACAAATTGAATAACTCCCGAAATATAACAAGGAAGGTAACTCTATAATAGGCCCTTGGTGTTCTGATTAATAAAAATCATACATTTTGG